CTAATTTTTTTTAATTTAAATTAAAAATTTTTATAATTTAAATTTATACTTAATTATAAAAATAAATTATTAAATAAGAGAACGGTTTTCGATGATGATGGATCCCTCCTTATCCAAACATCCTATTTTTTAGTTTAGACTCAAATAATAAATGTTTGCAATGATATGGTTTTCCAGCCTTTGCTCTTACTCATTTTTCATTGACTACAAATAGTTTTCGTTGACTACAAATAGTTTTCATTGACTAAAGTTTTTAACGTATTCTGAACTCCAAAAAAATGAGGAAAATAATTTTCAAAAAGTTACCATCTGCGATCCAAAAGCGCCTTCTTTTGCGGTTCTTTGTCTTTCGGCGAACCGGTTCTGAAGTTCAAAACTGAAATTTGGGTTCCAACGTTGGCCATTGCTGTGAAACAAATTTTAAATTCAGAATTTTACTTATAAAATATAAAAATATAAAAATCAAGACGTTCTAATATTCATGACATCTATTACAATTATCAATTAAGTATATTTTAAGGATGAAACCCACTTAATGGATGATTGTGATAAACATCTTAAACATTAAAATATCTTGATTTTCTAAGTTTTCTAAAAAATATATGAATTATTAAAAAAAAAGTTTTCAAAGAATAAGAGTTCTCTTTGTTCAAATATTTTTATTTTTTAATTTAAAGTGTGAAACAAAATTTTTATCAAAATAATATAGTTTTCCAGTCTTTACTCTTACTCTTTTTCATTGACTAAAGTTTTTAACGTATGCTGAACCCCAAAAAATGAAGAAAATAATTTTCAAAAAGTTACCGTCTGCGATCCAAGAGAGCCATCTTTTTGCGGTTCTTGGTCTTTCGGCAAACCGGTTCTGAAGTTCAAAGCCGGAATTTGGGTTCCAACAATGGGCCGTAGCTGTGAAACAAGGATGGGTTACAGCTCGGGCAACAGACAAATAATATTATTGGCCCAAAATAAATTTGTGGACCATATAATACATGATTAAAACCCTTTGAGCTCTGATAATAACGCAAAGCCCAAATGATCAACCTCAAAAGGGCTCACATCTCAGTTTCTCAGTTTCTCAGTTTCCCACTACCTTCCTCCTTTCATTTTTCTCCTGTTTTTTAATGTTTTTATCTAATAAAATACCTTTATTTTATTTTTTGAACAGCATCTTTTTTTTAATGAATTATAATTTGAGGGGATTCGAACTCCAATCTAAGATTAAGGGGTATACCTTATAATGAAATATATAATTTTCAAGTCACAAAGTTTAGTGTAAATAGCATTTTTATTTCATTTGTTGGTTATTAAAGAAATGAATAAAATAGTTATTAATTAAATTTTTTAAAATTAAAATAACGTATCTCAAAATTGTTTCTTCTAAAGCCTAATAACATCATATGAGAGACATCATTCTTGTTATGAACAGACCAAAATTTTGGGGCCTCCTTACTAATTCGAGGAAGAAAAAAAATGTTTTTGATGAAGTCCAAAGTTGCGTTATTTTGGAAGATAGCTTCATCTTTTGCCTTTTGGTTACATATTGATTTTCCATTTTTGATTCTTGGCTTCTTTGCTTTTTACCCCGTAAATCGGAATATGATGTGTAGCTTTGTTGATAAAATTCAACACGATACAAAGAATCGGAAACATATACTACCACTAAAGTATTAAACATGCGTTATTATTATTATATTTTATTTTAATTACACAGTAAAAAATAATAATTTTTTATTTTTTATTTAATTTTACTCACATATAATACGATTCGAATTTAAAATTTTTTACTTTTAATAAAAAAAATAATCATCAAATTATTTAAATTATCGACAAACATAACATTATTACAAAGAATGCAATGAATAGCATCCACTTTCATATAATAACATTTTTTATTCTAATATAGCTTATTAGTCCAATAA